TCTAGTAGCTAACCTAGTCTTGCGTTATAGTATCAAATAGCCCTATCGGAGCTGAAAGTAATTCTATATTTATGAAAAATTAACTCACAAAAGAAAACTATTACATTACATGTTTGTATTTTATAAAACAGTATAAAATATAATACATATAAATCAACAAAAAATGTTTTATATTGAAGTGAAAAGAAAATCTTGTATACATTTACTTGTAAATATTTGTGTGGATATGGATGACTTCTGTAAAAGAAAAAGAATGAAAACATATACTTTACTATACCTATTGTATCAGTTTTGGAGCCTATTTATCAAATGCTTATTTTTGATTATTCTACAAAAGTTAACTATTGCAAAAAGTATTATAAAAACTATATTATTTGATGGAAAACACTTTCTAGCATTTATCATTTTTTTTAATTTTATTTTTAGTTTTTGTTTGTTGTAGAAATATTGTTCAAAAACAATATTTATAAAGTGATATGTCGGTCTCAGTGACCTTCCTCTATTATAAAACGCGATTTTATATAAGAATCAAAATAAATAAAAAATTGAATAAATTTTGAACTAATAAGAATAAGAAAATTGTATCCAAATTGAATAACTTTTCAATCAATAAGAATAAGAAAATTGTGCCCAAATTTTACATAGATATTTAGGTGTCATAACAGAACAATCTATGAAATTTTTATATTTTTAGTATCAGGTGTGACACATACATATATATTTAATGTTTCGTGTCTGGAATACTTAAACGTATTATTATGTTTTAAGTTTTAAAATGAAATAAATTAATTGCAATACAATCCACGCGTATCTAGAAAATATTTAATTTAAGTCAACCTAAGTCTCAATATTATGTAATTTAAGTTTCCATTGAATCTTTGCCTTGTATGTATAATGTTTCCTCGCGCTAGCCAGAATTTCTGACCACATCCAGACCATTTCCACTTAGTCTTACTCGAACTCGGCATAAAGCATTACACGAAACCGTCCTCCATACTTGCATAGCAAGAAATTTTAGGGAGATATTTGGAGAGAATACGGTAATTAAAGCTTAACTTATTTAAGATCGTGTGCATATATATGTAAAATTTATCTTCGCACACATTTCAATTATCTTATAATGTAGTAATGTATAAAATATATTAAATCCAAATTTTTTTTTTATCTTTTATTACAAATAATAGTTTGTAATATATGTTTATACGAGGCAAACCGGATAGAGAGCAGAAATCGTGCTTATACCTTGGATCTACGCGTACTAAAATATTACACAAATTTACCAGCTGCGTTATTAAAAAATAATAAACGTCCGGATTACGTTGAATCAAATTACACAACGTACGCGTGTGCTGTCGACGCAAGATTTTGCGGAATGAATATTGCAATTATATATGCACTCATTTCATAAAGCCAATTATATTCCAGTTAATCCGCAGGATAAAATTCACATTGCTGATACACGATATAATTTCTGAACGATTTTGCTTTTGTCGCGATCTGACAGTATCGACAAGCATCTAGAAATGTTATAATTGGCGGTTTAAATAGTATTGACAAACAAACAAAGTTTTAATCGTCCGTAATTCACATACCTAATTGCACGAATTTTAGGTCAATTTTCACTTAATGCTTGTAAATTACAGAAAATTGTTAACTACACAAAAAAAAATTGATTGGATAGTTCAGCATAGTTATAACTTGCTGCGAAAGTTTAACATCTACAATTGAGAAGATTTGATGATTGTAATAAATTATGTCTGTATGCTAATTCAACTAATTCTTTGTTACAACGAAAATCGTTAATGTAACATGTTTTCTTTATTACAGCAGCAAAAGTAGCTAACATGTTTTAATAAAAACGCGCTATCTCAGCTAACATGTTTTTGTTAAAAATTTGGATTTATGTATTCGACTGATTTTTGTAGAAAGTTATCTTGTTATATTAACAAAGAGTAACAGAAAAAAATCGCTTATTTTTTACACCCTCGATTTTGAAACTAAACGGTGTGCCAAATTTTACGTTATATTGAGACACAGAGAAGTTTGAAATTGAAGTGATAATTATTATCAGAACTGGGAGGGATGGAATCAAAGTCCATTATCGAATTATCATAGACCTGCGAGATCCGGTATTTTAAGAAAGTTAATCCAACTGGGTGTATGTGTCAATTGCTTACATCGCTAATTGGCTAATTTAAAATAATGTAATCTGATTGGTAAAGCAGTTAAAAATTACTAGAAACCGGCCAATGTGAGTAGTGTGTGCAATTGAACTGTGTGCTAATGCGCCACTTCCGATCCAGCCGATGAAGGCAAGATCAATTGAGCATTACATTTATTACGGTGATTTTGTAAATCAATTTGTTTTAAATGTAAAAAACGGATTTTCGCATAAACGTAATACGCGCGCGCACGTGATTCTCCCTCTATCGATGACAATAATTGTTACCTGAAACTTCTTTGTAATTAATATCTCATTGTAGGATATTATTTTGTAGGCATATAGTTCAGTCTAAAAATTAAGGGCCCAAAAAAACCATCTTTTGTTGGTCACTCTTTGAACTATTATCACATAACAAATATGATTATTTATAAATTATAATCGCTAATTTTATTCAGCTGTACTTTGCTACTACTTTAACATAGAAAATTAATTGTTCGTATATTAAGATTGTAGTAGGATTAGTTGGTCGTATATTACGATTGTAAATTTGCTAAATCAGTGAAGTTGTTTTAATAAATTTTTTTTTCCATATGTGAATTACAAAATAGGATTCTGCGCGATTACCGGTAGTACAATTTACAATGACAACATTTATGCAATGTATAAAACAAGCTTACCTCTCAAAGAAGAAAAGGGAAAGAGAATACCTTGGAAACAAACCTTAGATTAAGTTATTTCGGAAAATGCATGTATGCAATTTGCCGCGCAAAGAGAGAGAGAGAGAGAGAGAGAGAGAGAGAGAGCGTCCTATTCCTTTTACTATTGTAGTTTTGAACTGACGCTGTTCGGGAGCACTCTTACATGAAATGCGCTAAAGTGTCTGATCTTCACAGATGCAGAAGATAAATTTATTAAGCTGAATGAGCACAAGTTACTTCTATTATCCAATGACTTGAAACGTTTCGTCAAGATACTCGATTATCGCGGAAATTTTGATCCGCAATGAGCGAAGCGAGACTCTACCGTGATGATATCTTTGTTTGCTTAACGAACTTTCGCAAACAAAAAGAT